TTATCATTCAATTTTTCAGAGCTGTAGTTGAAGAGAGCATGGAGTTACAACCGTTAACCAGTAGTGGTCGCAAATCAGAAAATTCTAGTAGTAAAAGTATTTTAAGAAGAATGCCYCGGGTATGGAGCGATGAATTAGCTTCAGGAACCGATCACAGTGATGAAGACCCAAGGCCAATATCACCGGGTATTCCAATACTAAATAAAGCGAAATCAGATAAAGAACCACGTGCTAACGAGTCTAAAAAGTGTATACTATCACCACCACCGACTGTGTCAGAAACAGCTAGGAAAGAATCAACGAATCAAGAAGTAATCGGTGCTGGGCTTCCGTTATTACAGAGGCTGTTRATCCTTAAACAAAAAAATGAACAAGAAGTGATGATGCAAAGTAAACCAAAGAAGGTTGATCTAGAAGTATCCGAAAGTACGCCTAAGATAAAATCGAACGTGAAATTAAAAACTCCAAAAAAAGAAAACACAAAAAGCATAAGCCTAAAGCAACGGCTGTCGGAGGTACATACCAGGCAGMGTAAACCGACGTCGAATACGAAATTGTGGACACTTTTAAAAAAAGCGACGGTGCTTACACCAAAAGCCAAGTTGCAAGACTTAAAAGCCGATTGTGAGGTCCCWCGTGACACGTCGTCTCTTCAATCAAACTTGAAACCCGCCGCCGATGTTTCACATATAAATACCAGTGGTTCCGAACACAAGTTTATTGTAATGTGCCAAAAATTAGATGACCAATACAAGCAGGGCTCATTGATTGCTCAAAACTTATCAGCTCACAATATTTTAACAAATAAATGTACTGAAAATAATATTAATAAGGAAAAATGTGATATTAGAATAGGGCATAGGCCAAAAGTGTTGCATTTAGATGGCAAGAAAAGATGTTACGATTCGATCAACGATCTGTCACCTGAGTATTCCGGTTTGTCGTTCGTCAAGAAATTGAAGATATTAAAYGAACGACAAAAGTTGGCGGAACTGGAAGAGAAGGCGTTCTTGAGAAGTTCCAGCCTGGACTCGTCCGGATGCAGAGCTWTGGATTTTTCGTATGGCAACCAGTTGACACGGAGTCACTCTGAAGCAGTGGCTCTGGAGGTTGTACTGAGAAATCAAAATTCGCGCAAACAAGAACCGTTGAGATGCAACACTACTACACCGGTTGATGAGTGTAACGAAACGGCCGAACGGATACGGCTTAAGAACATACTTAAAAAGTTATCGTCAAGCTGTTTCGGAAACGACAGAACGAACCAGTTGATGACTTCGCAAACCATAGAAGGATACGCTGCCAGACACTCCAAATTGACTAGAAACATTACCTTCAACCAACGCCGCACAATAGAATCATCGCCAGATTCTTGTAGCTCCTTATTTGCGTTTCCCGAAAGCATRACCTCGCAGTCTAAAAACCCCGATCTTATACCAATAGATTTGTCTCGTAAGACTGACTTGCTAGAGTCTTCCCAAACAACTTCAAAGCATACAAAACTGTCTAAACGAATGTCTACCAACACTACAGTACAATACGTGTCGAGTCGGCCGGACATTCGACAAAACTGTTACGACGAAATACTGACTGGCGTAAAAACAATAGTCGAGAAATGTCTAGTAAGTTCAAATAATTGTATTATTATTATTAACATTATTTTTTATGTATATATATATATATATATATTTATCTCATTTTTTAAGTTAATCGTTTAAGATTTTATTTTTCATATTTTGCTGTAAATCAATTAATTAATAATATTCTTACATAATTAAACTCAGTATATTTTTTTAAATATGCCAATGCCATTATTAAAACTTATATTTTTCCCTAGTCACACGTTAATGTCATTATAATTGGCTTGTTTTCTATAATTACATTTATATATAATTAAATTATTTTATTATACTAAACTGCATATTATTAATTTTTGTAATTTTCAGAACGATATTGAAGGAAAATATCGAGGTAAAATAGATGAACTCGAATCTGAAATTAATAAACGTGATTATACAATAAGCACACTGTGTGAACAATTCAATCAGGTAACTTTTTGTTTTTACATTACTTGATATCTATTATATTATTTAAAATTTTAAAATCAATTCATGCTTATCCAGAAACTTTGCGATCAGCCCGTCGACGAAGGAAAATTAGGATCATTACTTGATAATTATTCAAAAAATATAGAAGAGGACGAAGAAAATCCATTTATAGTGAGTTTTGTTATGATACCTATACAACATTGTATAAGCTGTAAAACATAGAACTGACAAATGTAATTACCCAACTATAGATATTATGTAATAACATTTGTTCTAATCAATATCTAAAAATTAATTGTTTGAATTTATAAATATTTTGATTATTATTAGGCATAAATCCAAACATTACTTAAATATTGGTTGAATAAAGGTTATTACAAAAAATATATATATATATATTGGTGTATAATATATATATATATATATATCAAATCTTTGCATTTTTCAATAATATACTCAGTTACATTTTACGCAATGATTAATTGTGTTCCTATTATATGCGTGGAAATGTATTTTAATTGATTTCAGAGAAATGATTCTGTAGATACTGTCATGTGTCCAAAAGTTTCTTCGTTCAACAGTTTATCCCCATTCAGTATAGATGACTCAAGTTGTTATAACCCAAATTCCAGTAGCCCAGTGTTGTTCTCGAGTAAGTCTTGGGAAGACCGGTCGGAAGAAGAGAACTTGGAACTCCGAGATTTGCCCAAGTCAATCATTCCAGAACCATCATGGCAGCACGATGAGACCAGAATTGATATGAATTGCACAGACGACGAAGAAGAAGAGTTTCCACCCAGGTGGGAGAACTGGGAAGCGGAGATGTTAGTGGGACACACTAGTCACAATGATCTCCACGCTGGCCCAGAAATTTTCAGCCGAAGGTCTTTGGACGAAAATAGTATGATCATACACAGAGGATTTCAGGGACGGAGGAGGTGTTTGTCGATTGATAACGTGCCATTTTCCAATTCGATATTAAGAAATTTTGGACAATACGTCCGTTTGGGAGGCAGTTCGTCACAAACGTCTTCGCCCGATATACTGCCGACCATATCGAAGAGTTGTTTTTCGTTGGTATCGCAGCCCGAAAATTAGATTCAATTTAAACCAATTATTATTATTAATATTATTATTGTTGTTGTTGTTGTTATTGTTGTTATTTTTGGATAGTAGACATTTTACCATAACAGGATAGTTGCATGGTTCTATCATGACTATATTTATT